CGGGGAAGAGTGGACTACATATGTAACAAGCTGGGATTATATGATATATACTCACCAGCTTGAGGGGGAGTGTTAGTGTCGAGTATGTAGGGGTATTTCTATCTTTATACTTATGTTGAGGTTGCTGATGTGTAATATTATGTTAGAACTAGTGTCCCTCACTTAAGTAGGGCAACATGTGTCTTTTCCATTATGTAAGTAATATAAAACACATTTGGCCGAATGGGAGAGGTAATTATTCTCTCATTCAAACCAGACTTTTCTTCTCTCCTTTTCTCCTCCTTTCTCTCTTTCTCTTTCTTTCTTCTTTCTTCTTCTCTCTTCTTGGCTGTTATCAGACTAACAGAACTCAAGGGCAGGCCGAATCATAATAAGAACATAAGGTAACTCGTATAAAAAAATCTAGGAAAACAAGTTTAACGAAGTTTTTTAATAAATATTGTTGCCTAAGCAATACTTAGGTGGGTGCCTAGTCACCTAGGTGAGATGTTCCATGTGACCCAACCTTGCTTTAGTGCCTTGACAACAATGTATCATACTATCATAATTTAGTTTGGACATGAAATATTAAAATAATCAATTTACAATAAGCTAAGAAATTAAATTCAAATACCAGTAAAAAACAATAAGCCGATTTATATAAAAAAAGTAAAACATATACTGTACACAAAAAAATAGTTGAAGGATAATAGACATGTGATAAATCATTATTCCCTAAAATAGAGATGTTGACCTGACACACAAGTACAGTATTGGATCAGAGCTGGCCTGGTTTCAAAATGAAATGCCCTTCACACATTCTAGGGAATGTTCACCTCAACTGGTAGGAAATGGATTGTGTTTCTATAATTTCAATAACAGATATTCCCGGTGGCAGTTTTCTTTTAAGCCAAGTTTATAATTGTTTAACTATCAGAATCAAGCACAATTTAGCTATTTATTTACATCCCAACCATAGTACCTGGTAGTTGTTTAAACAAAATCGGAGCTATTCAAATATAATAACCAAACACTATTCTAGCTCAGTGATTTAAAAGGCATGCCTGAGGTGGGCCTAGGCATAAAGGGATGGATATCATTCAATGAAACCAGGGTGAAACACCTTTATGTTTAGGAAAAAGATCAGTAAGGGAATTTTCCAAGTATAAGGCCTTTATTTCATAGACATGGAAAATTAACTGAAATGTAATGGATATGACCAAATGAATCAATAGAACCATTTTGGGAAAGACCAGGAAAAAAACTACAGTCCCAGAGAAATGTCAGAGGACCCAGGTATAGTTATTAAATCAACCCAAAGTTTAGCATAGGAAACCTCCTACCTTGAACTAATTGAATATGGGTCCCATACACCCTGCATGTACCCGTCATGCACCAGAATGTCCAAGGTAGATTTTATATAAAGCCCACTTTTAGAGCCCTGAGGTTTCCAAACTCCTTTTTTTTGCACCTTTTTAGATAATAAACCTTTTAAAGTCGAAAGTCACCTTTGTTGTTGTTGAATCAATGGATCCAACCAGATGATCTACACCACATTCCATGGGGCTTAGTGCAGGCATTGAAGAGGATCCCATCCAAATACCAAATTTATCTGCATTTTCAAGCTCATCTAATCYGCTTGCACAAGCAAAGTCTATGATGTTATTATTTTCAGGGTGATCCCAACAGTTACTGATATTGTTCTCATCTATGCTCATTAAACCCAATCCTTGCTCGCAGTTAGAATCATCCATAGAAGGGAAGTCCAAAACAGATGACCAGATCCTAGAAAGCTCTGCAGCTGAAGGACAGCCAGAGTAAGATTTGATTGTCTGCCTTTTATGTGCTGAACCTGAGGTAGAGTTTCCATGCCCATTCCAATCACAAGCTTGACAAAGTGAGATTTTCTCTTCAATGCACCTAACTATGGCAGACTGATAATTGCATCTTTCACACAAGAGGGTCCTCGAATGACGCTTTGACAGGGCATTTGCAGAATGGACGTTCCGATCACAGGACAAACATAAGCAAGCAGCATCAGATCGGCAGTATACCATGGACCGCTGTTCCCCACAGAAATCACAGAGTTGACCCATGTTTTAATACTTCCCTTCTCTGCAATCGAATCTGACCAAGCAAGGGAAAGGCTGGTTGTCAACTTCAAAACCCTTGAGATTACTTTCTTATGGGCACTGCAAGCTTGATGAATGCATCTATAACCTTCAGAATCACGTAGAAGTCAAAAATTAATAATGCCCCTGTAATAAGAGAAGACAGTTTGCAGAAAAACATTAAAAAAATATTATCAGTTAAAAAGATGGTTTTTCGCCCTTTAATCTATCAAGATCAGCTAATTGGCACACAATTTATTGTCTGGGTAACAATGGCAAATAAACCCCACTCAGACAACCCATATTGGTAACATTATTCCCTTCCCATTCAACGACCCCTACAAAAACTGGAAAAAAATAAAAGACTTCAAAAAATTCCAACGGAGGAAGTTGGAGGAAGACGGGAGACATAGGAGTGGGAGAATGAAAAAGTTGCACCAAATTTTGAACACCCAGCTTCAAGGTCTGAAAACCCATTGGAAGTTAAGATCTCCAGTTCTCCAAGAACTGCATTTAAACGCAACCTTTTCCTTCTCTTCCCGAAACAGAATTTTAAAATAAGAAAAAGACGGGGAGTTTATTGTCTTTATGTAAATAATGAAAGACCTTTCAACAAGATTAGATATTCCACACAGATGTTCACAATTTTTGTTTATTTAATTTATTAACATTAAAAAAATGATTAGATGTTTCATTCAGCTGGGTTTTAAACCCAGTTCCTTTTTTTTTTTTTTTTTGGGGGGGGGCAACAAGGACGAGAAGTAGATAATTTACACAATTAAACCACCAAAATTCATATTTAAATTTTTTAAATTCTCCTAAAAAATAAAAATAAACAGAATTTCCTTCCTGAAATACGAACAATTAGCTCAGAATAAAAGAAGACCTTCTGTAAAAGATTACATCAGAACCTCCTCTTTCGAGTCTCCAACAGATCATAAATCTAGATAGGAGATGTTCATCACAAAGTTCGAAATCTCAACCCAACAATCCTCAGACTTTTCACATAATAATGAAAAAAATATGAAATTCTCTTCATTTTAGCAGACAACAAAAAGAAAATATGGCATTAACAGAGAAAGAAGCTAATTGGACATTAGAATTTCGAAACCCATCATAAGGAGAAGAAATAAAAATCGACGAAAAGTTCGTTGAATCCGTTTCAAAAAAAAAAAAAACAGAAAGAAAAAACAAAAAAGTAAGCAAATTATTAGAATTGATAGAGAGTTACCAATAAACAGAGATCTTTGAGCATGAAGTATAGAGATGAAAGAGGGAGAGATATGAATAAACAGGGTGAGAAAGAGAAAGAGAAAAAGAAAATGGCGGAAATGGAAGATATATGAATTAGAAAGCTAGTTGCAATTCGTACAAAACCCTAATCGAAGTTCGAAGGTCTGGTGAAGAGATTCAGGATAAAAGAGCAAGCAGGTGGTGAGCTCTCTTCGCGTAGGAACTGTGGAAGTTAGGCCCTCTCTCCCTCGCGTCGAGCTCTTCCTTTTGTTTCTCCTCCGCTCCGAGAAACAAATATAAATTATAAATAAATAAAAAGAAAAGGAAAGGAAAAATTATTCTTCCGGATAAGGGTTTTTTTGTATAGATCGTTATCATCGTGTGGTTGACGCAAAAACTTGCGATCAAACTTTAGAATTATAGTTTACAAGTGGGACCCAATCTTCTACGTCAAATGTCCCAGGCTTTAACCTTTAGATTGGGATCAACGTAATGTAATACCATAGTACGTCTTGCACGAGAATTATGCCTTCAAATGACTTAGATTTGGATTAGACAACTATCAACGCCTGTGACGTGTGACATAGCCCCACGATGTAGCAAAAAGATGCTTCAGAAGAACACGTCAGCCCAAAAAGCGAACCCAAGCATGCTCTAAATTACATATATATATCTCGTGTGTCGTTCTCTATTCTATTAGAATAAACGAGTGCGGGACCCACTGGTCCAGATTTCGGATCTTCATCTCCGAGATTCCATGGCTAAAATAAAAAAAAATGTTGGACAGAACAACAAAGCACATTGTCCCTTTTCCAAACCGAATCCTTGTTGCAAGAGAAGCACAGTAGTTTTGCCTTGGGCACACCAGATGGCGCCTCTTGATTGGGTAAAGCATCAAGTCTTGCACTTTTGACTTTTGAGAATTGGGAGAGAGAGAGGACTAATAGGAGTTAGTTTGTTGGGCTCATTTAAGAGGAGAGAAGGGAGGAGAGCAAAAGGAACACATGAATTAATGCTGTCCCATGTGGATATACCACTTCAACGTACCATGACGTAACCTTACCCTTCATTTTAGGGCAAACTTTTTGTCATTAAAAATGGGGTTTTGGGCCATTAACTAATTTCTGTTATTGCCGTATTGGGCCATTGACCGTCCTACTTGTTAAATAATCTTTCTTCTTGCCTTTTTGGCTTCTTTCAAATATATCTTTCACCTAGCCTCCACTCTCCACCCTTTTTTTTTATATTATTAATGGGGACTTATGGGATGCAAGGGCTTTGTTAAATAATAAACATATAAGAGTATATGATTATTTTATATTTTTAAATTTTTAAATTTTAATAACTAATAACTATTTATATTTTATATATTACTTTTAATTTATAATACAAAAATAATAATAATTAATTTCAGTTAAGATTGTTCATCAAACCGATGAAATCGACCAATCCAACTCAACTCAACTCAACTCAATCCGAGTTGATCGGTTTTTAATATTTTCGGTCAGATTTGGTTCAACGATTTCTCAATTTGACTAGGTTGGATCAGTTTCGGTTTGCCCATTTATAAACCGAAACCCAACCATGTTCCTTAGCATAAAATATTTTATATCATAAATTTATTTTTTAATAATACCACTATAATTTTTAAAATTTAAATTTGAATTTTAAGTAAATATTCTAAACCAATAAACCAACCTAAAAATTGACCCAAACCAATACAAGCCAAGTTTGTCGATTTTCATTAATGGTCAGTTAGTTTCAAGTGACCAACTCCACAACCTGACAAAGTATATTTGGTTGGCCAAATAACCTGCAAACCCATAAACACTCATAATTTCAGCTAAATTAAAAGTCTAATCTCTAATAAATAACAATAGTTTAATCTCCAACAATTAATGCACAATTAATGGAAATAAAATTATAATGAAAATACAATAAATATTGAAAATATATTAAATTTGTCAATAAATAGTGTAATCTCAAATAATAGTTTAATCTCTAATAAATTATAACAAAAAATACAATAAGTACAATAAATTAAATTTAAAAAGTTAAGTAGTAGTAGTTTAATCTCCAATAGTTATTGAATATTTTCTGTTAAATAAAAAAACAAAAATAAATTTATACACAATTATTGAAAATATATTTATCACAAGAAAAAAAAAGAGTAATTACTGAAAATACAATAAACATTAATTTTGGTAGATATAAATATATAATAAATATAGATTAAGATATAAAATTATTATTAATTTATTGAAATTTATTTTCTAAAATTATTAATTGATATAAACCGAATTAGTTTACAATATTATTTAGTTATTTAAATAATATCATTGTTTAAAATTTTAAAATATTAATTATTTATTGAATTCAATAATCTATATAATTATAATTTATACTAGGGAAAATTCCACTTAGTATCCTAAACTTTGGGGGTAGTGTCAAGTTAGTATCCGAACTTTCAAATGTGTCACTACAGTACCTAAACTTAAAATGTCAAGTTGGTCCCTGTTGTTAACCAAATGTCAGTTATCTATTGAAAATGTCAAAAATACCCTTGAAAATAATACATTGTTTGTTGTCTTCTACCTTGATACTAAACGGGTTATCTTCAAAGAACAAGAGAGAAAAAAACATGAAATATGATAGAGGAAAACAATAACTGAAAGCAAATAAATAACTAGACAACAATGTGTTTCAGATCTAAAGGTAGAAGACAATGACTTCATTAGTCTAGAATCTCAAACACCTTAACCGGTTCAATCTCAAGGTAGAAGACAATGAACATTGTCTTATTTTGAATGGTAGTTTTGACATTTTCAACAGATAATTGACGAATGGTAAACAATATGGACCAACTTGACTCTTTTTGAAAGTTTAGGTACTACAATGACACGTTTGAAAGTTTGGGAACTAACTTGACACTACCCCCAAAGTTCAGGGTACTAAAGTGGAATTTTCCCTTTATACTATTATTACATAATTTCATTATTAATTCTATAAAATACTAAATTATTATTATTTTGAATGTTATGAAATCTATTATAATTATTTTTCTACTTTTAAGTAATTTTTTAAATTTATTACATAATTTCATTATTTTAACTATTAAATTTAGTTATGTTAAATATTCCACTATTTAAAATATTTAGTTACTTAAACATTTAAATAATATGTAAAATATTAAAAATGTTTCATTATTTGAAATTTGTTTATTTTTAAATTTATTACGTAATGTTAAATATTTTGTTATATAATTATTTAGCTAATTTTAATATTTTGTTATTTAAGATATTTATTTATTGAAATTTTAAACAATATTTTGTTTTTGAATGTTAAACTTTTATCATTTGAATAACATTTAAATTGCATAGTCCATAAAATTATAATTTATATTGCTAATATATAATTTCGTGATGAATTTTGTAAAAAAATTAAGAAATTTTAATAATATGAACATTATTAAATCTATTATAATTATTTCTTGTCTTTTTAATAAATATTTTAAAAATTTATTATATAATTTCATTATATATTTAAATAATTCTTTAATTTGTTAATTCAAACTTTCTTTAGATAGATACAAATAAAAAGTAGGGTAGGGGATAAATAGGAAATAGAGATAATTTATGAGATAAATAGGAATTAAAGATAATTTATGAGGAAGTGGGGGATAGTGGTGCCATTGGCTAGACATTTGAAAAGCAAATCCCTCTTTCTCTATCTATTGGTTGTTAGAGATAATTCTTATTGATCTAATGGGCAATCATGTGAAATTAAATAAGTAAAAAATTAAAAAAAAAGAAAAGAAATTGGGAATGGGTTTGGAGCAAGGAGAGGCATGGTGACGTGGACAACCTTGCTATATATATGTGTGTGTGTGTGCTCAGTCCTCTATTGATTTCTCTATTTGGTTTGATCGGTTTCACGGTTTGGAAACGATGCAAATGGAGTGTAAATCCCAGTTCAGGGTAAATTTGCACTCTAGTTCACTTTTGCCTATATTTAGCAACATTACATTTATGCATTGATAAATGGCAGACCAATGCATATTTACATTGATAATAAGATGTAAAAGTAAATTAATAAAAAAGAAGTAAATTTGCATTCAAGTGGGCTTTTGATAAAAAAAAAAACATATGCTTTATTGGAAATTGTGTTTGCATCCATTACAACTAAAAGTCTGTTTGGTAAGACTCAATTTGGAAGGAGTACAAATACAAATATGTAGAGTGCAAATACATATAAAATAATACAAAATAAAAGGTTTTGCACTCTACATATTTGCATTCACACTTATTTGCATCGTTTCCAAATGCAGCCTAAGGGTTTTGTGTTTTCTATTTATTAAATTTCCTCTTTGCCAAAAAAAAAAAAAAAGCGGCCAATCCACTATTTAGGGGTGCAAGTCGAATATCCCAATTTGAGGAATTTACACTACATTGGGCCCAGGATTTTAGCAAATTCGTAGCCCAAATCCACCCATTTTGCACTCCTAATAAATGTACCTTTTGCAATGGAGAGCAAGGAAATCGATATTAGATTTGATATCCACATGGCTTCCAACATGATTTACATGTACACATCTCAAGCATGTTTTGTGTATAGTAGATTTGGAATTTGGAAACCCTACCTCCCAAGTCGACTTCCAAATTAAAAGAATTTCAACTACATTAGGCTCAGGTTTGATTTCTAACCCATACAGAATATGACAAAACTAGGGAGGGGCGCCTGTGCTAAGCATGGGCGAATAATACCGAGTAATTGGGAGAATGAAAAATAAAGAAAAATAATAATAAAAGTTGTGGTAGTGGGACAAGTGAACTAATATATGGAAGATATATATTAAATAAAAAGAGAAGAAACACAAAATTTATATGTATGAGAACAGGCCATTCTAACAAAGTCATTAACATATAATTCGCAAAAAAAAAAAAATACAAATTTTATATGTTTCAGAAGAGAACTATGTTGCAAATTAAGTTATTAAACATATAATTCCCAAAATAACACCCTATCCATCCTGTGAACCAACCAAATGTTTGTGGAACAATGCCTTAAACGCCTGAAATGATTCTCAAGGGTGTCAACGAATTGCTAATGTCGCAAATAAAACCTTTAACAACCAATATGAAATATGAACAGAAAGGGGTGCCAATGAATTGGATTTAGATGGCATGTACCTAGGTGAGAGTGCAAGCATCCTTGAGGGACAACTGAAAGATAACATGTAGATGGCTAACAATGGGTAAAGCTAAAACTTAAACCACCCACTACAGGTATTTCATCCCATATATAGGTTGTAAGATTTTATTTTGCATTTATCTGAAAAAATTTCTTTTATTAATTCATATGTAAAATATCCAATAACTTGGCATTATTTTATTTACTTGATTTGACGCTTCATTTACCAATTTAGCTTTGTTTTTATTTTGCTTATAGCTTTCTTGTCACTATATAATGCTTTTTCTCCTGAATTAGTTTGTTGTCATTTAAGTTAGCTTTTTATTTCATTTATTATTGTGGTTGGCACTTGGCAGGTCAAGAATCTAGCTGAAAGGATGGCCAAATGGTTGAAGGTTGGAGGCTTTATTTTCTTCAGAGAGTCTTGTTTTCATCAATCCAAAGATTGTAAGTAGAAAAACAACCCTACACACTGTTATGAACCAAGATTCTACACAAAGGTGTTCATTTAATTATCCTATCGAGCCCATTTAGTTTTCAGTCCTAAATTATCCTATTCTGGTAGAATTTTTAAGATAAATTCATGTTTTTCTTTTGTATTGTCTATGCTACTTTTTATCCTTTGTTCATGGTTATGGTTGCTTTTTATATACAGCTGTGATTGGAGTTCAGAAGTTAATATTGATTTTATTCTCTATGTTCTAACTTCCAACCAAGTTATAAGTGTAGCCAGAAAATAATGATGTTTTTCTATTTCATCTTTATTGGCATTATGGGGTTGTATTTAGATTAGAAAACACAAGATCGTGATTGGATGGTCTTTTTGACAAAGTTTAGTTTCAAAGAGAAATGTTTTATATGGATGTTTTACTTACAATTTGACTTGCATTGCATGTATTTAAAGAATCACACTTGGATGATAGGTCTGGAAACTCATTCGAACATTCTCTTATTAGATGCAACTGCATTGGAGCATATGTGAGAAACAAGAAGAACCAAAATTAGGCAATGTGTCGATGAAGAAGTAAAGTATCCATTCATTCAAAGAAAAAGATTGAAATGTACAACAAAGGAGAATGCAAAAAAAATAAAAATAAAACATTCAGACCACCATCCCATTACAAACAGGCTTGCAAAATAAAAAAGGGACCTATAAAAGGAACTATCAATATTCAATTGTACCACAGACCAAGAGTACGGTTACTCCACAATTCTCTGCCACACTTCATCCTCTTGACATCTTTTGTTTTGGAACATCCTTGAGTTTCTTTCTTGCCAAATCAACCAGAAGTCCCTCACTATCGCTCAAGAGAAAATATGGTTGAATATTGATCAAGACCATCCAACCTTGGATATTTTCAAAAGATAAAATGTAATATCAAAGAGAAAACCAAAATAGATAATCCCGAAAACATATTACAGATATATGAATTCTGAAAAGCAATTAAAGAACACTAAATCTAATTAATGGGTAATGAAAGGCACCCACAGCACAAATCACAACAACAAAGAGAGACCTTGTTACATAGGAAATTTTAGGGCCAAGGAAAGATCATACAACCTATGGAGAACAAAGACCTGCCACTTATGTGGAAAGATCTTGTTACCTTGGAAAACAGAGAAGATCATTACCCATGTGCTTTGCTTGATGACCCATAAAAGAGATAACTTATAAAATGAATTTCTGTATTTTATATTTTAACCATTGTAAGATTTCATGTTCCTATAAGAACTGAACATTTGTTATACTCTACAGAAAGAAAAAAGAAAAAAATAATGATTGAATTCTCTATTAAAATTCTAATAATCCAAGTTGTCATTTCTATTACGAAATGTTTAGTAATCAGCAATTCTCATCATCCCAAGTTACAGTTTATCTAGGGGGAGTATTAGGTGGTGGGGTTTCTTTGTCATGGTTTTTCCTCTGCTATAAGCCTATAACAAATCAATATAAGTTAAAAGCTTATATGAAAGCTTTCAAACTATGCCATTAAATAGCTAGTAAATAAAAGTAAGAAAGTAGTACTTTAGATTACAGAACTAAATAACAAAGTTAAGTATTAGTTTAGATTATAAATATAACAAAGTTAGGAAAGCATGCCTGCCTAAAAGGCATAACTAAGAAAACATAACTCCAAAATGCAGTAGTAGTAAGGTGGTAAAAGGAAGAAAGAGATGCAAAATAAATAAATAACTCCTAGCAAATTAATCAGTAAATATTATTAAACAATGCTAATATGGCAGGTATTAAATCAAATAAAGGAAGAGAGAAAATGAGTTAGGGAGAGGTACCTTAGATTGAATTCATAACTCAATTAAGGTGTTCCAATGGAACCAAGCAATGTAGATAACCTACAAAAAATGAAGGTCAAAAAGTATAAAAATAAATAAATAAATAACTCAGCAAATTAAATATAATGGGTATTTTCAAAGTTTGTATAAAACTATAAAATTGAGGTTGTATCACACCTTTATGATACAACCATAGCTCAACATGAAAGAACAAACTTAAAAATTCTGATCGAACTTGAATTCATAACTCCATTGAGGAGTTCCAATGAAGCCAAGCAACGTAGATAGCCTGCAAAAATTGAAGGCAAAAAGTTAGTCAGTCATCACATAGAAGAGAACAACGTTCTAGCTTGTTAGCTTGGTGGGTCCCAAGTGGATGTACATGTTGTAGTGCTTGATCTTCCTATCAAGCAACAAAAGAAGCATTAGGAAAACAAAATGTATACCATGGTTATCTAATAGTGTTCTGTTATGTCAAGTTTCAGGTGGATGGTGATAGTAGTATCGATGTCGGCGCTGTATCATATCAAAGTTCTAATTCATTCCACACAAGCTCACATCTGGGTTTGCCTGGGATAACAACGGAGTCTTCATGACAATAAACTAAAATTAAGTAGGGTTTGTTTGGAATTCTGATAAGAAATCCTTGTGGGGAATTGATGAAAACTGCAACTTTGCAAGCAAAGCTATTATACAATTTCTCCATAGCTGTTGCTTCCATCTGTGCCTCAGGAATGTATGTTTCTTGTTATGGGTACTCTTATATTTCCTAGATGCATAGTATTTGGTTTGAAACATAATTAATGGTTGTTGCTTTTCTGTTGTATCTATTATGACTTGCCTCATCAACAACACGCCAGTTTTAATGGGTTTATGTTGTTTTGGTGTTTCTATTATGGCTTGTCTCATCAAACAGAATGTTTTCTTAGGTTATTTAGTATTGTTTTTATTTTCTCTCTCTCAACTTCTGGATGTAGAGTGTAGAATGAAGAGATAATGAGTAGGAAATAGCAAAACACCTAATCCATCAAGCCATATGTTAACCAAAATAAATCAGAATCCTAGCTAGAAAGTAGAAACAAATAATGAAAATAATAAAAGCAGAATAAATAAATATTAAAATGAGGAAAGTAGAACTGCCAGTCCCTACCCTTTCTAGCCCCTTCAACTTGCAACAAAGCACATCTTCCTAACGTCATCCACTTCAATTCCATTTGCATGCCCACATCAGTTGAATGCACGAATAACATCCTAAGATCATACACAAAACAGAGTATATACAAAAATTGAAATGCAGAGGGAACCTAACTTCATATAGCCATTTCAAGAAATGGAAAATTGGAAGAAATCTAATCCTCAAGAAACCCTTAAGTGAAAATGGGAACATACCAGGCTACCCTTTCCATATCAATCATTACAGACATGCAACGGTTTCACCTTTCTCTCATTAGGTGAAGCCACAGTGAAGACTTGTAGAGGGGAGGGGGGGGGGAGACAGAGAGAGATCACAAAGTTGATTCCAATGCTGAAGGAGTTGGGAAACACCCCACAGAAGAACACCCCTGGAACAAATTAAAACCCATTGTTAGTTGGCTCTAAATTTAAACCAGATTGGAAAGCTCAGCAATCATGAATGGAGCTGAACAACCAATGGAACTGTTGGAACCTAAAACAAAAACATCAATCCTTACAGACATGCAACGGTTTCACCTTTCTCCCATTAGTTGAAGCCACGGTGAAGACTTGTAGAGAGAGAGAGAAAACCCAAAGTTGTTTCCGATTCTGAAGGAGTTGGGAAACACCCCACAGAAGAACACCCATACAACAAATTAAAACCCATTGTTAGTTGGCTCTAAATTAAAACCCATTGCTAGTTGCTTACCGAATGCGTTGGCCGAGAGAAACGGAGATAGGCAACGAGAAGATGGGGAGGGTGGGAAGAAGCATTTCGAAGAAGAAATGGGAGAAGTGATTCGAGAGATGATGGAGAGTGAAGTCCGAACACGTGTGTGTCATGCAATGCAAAAATGAGGGAGGGAGAGAGAAATGGGACGTTCTCATTATGCAATGAATCACACCACTCGAACTATTCACACGTGTCGCTACAGACTATAGTAAAACAATAGAAAGATTCCATTTAGAGAAAGGGGAAAACAACCCTCTCAAACACTCTGTAGCTTTATTTACACGCACGAGTTGGATACCGTCAATCTACTCGCACGAGTAGATTCCATTTACTGGATCGAGAGTACATTCATTCCGCAATAATATATATATATATTGATGCTCACAGAACGGTTCAGCGGCACATCGAGAACATCTTCCGTATCCTGTGTTGTATTCTAGGAGATGTTCTGGTACACGGTGGGATGTCAGATTTCCTGTGAGGTGAGACCGGATCTGTTTCTCACACAGGGCGCCTCACACTGACTTTACATGTACATCCTATCATGTATTGGGAACATCTTCCGTACTTATAAATTATTATTCACGGTAGATGTTCCCAATACAAGGTGGATGTGCCTRTGAGGCGCCCATGTGAGAAGCAGATTCCATTCCCTGTAAGGTTGGTGCGAGGATCAAACCCCAATTCTAGCTTACGTGAGTTACCGAGGTTGGGCCGTTTCCGGGTCGCTCGGGTTCGTTCAACCCAAGTTCAATGGGGATATTTTTGTAATTTCGAAAAACAAGTACCTATATAGCGTTTCTATTATTCGGCGCGATTTATCGGGCAAGTAAGTAGAGGCCATCGCGTTTCGGCCCGTTTCAATCGTTGTTGCAGAGAACTCAGAAAGCTCGAATTCGTGATCTTTTCTGGGACCAAACTCCATATCGATGGGGAAGAGAAAGGAGCGCCGCCTCGCAGCTCTAAGCGCGGCTGGTCGAAGAGTAAAGCTCGATCTTTTTGCGGAACCCTCTGGTATTCACTGCGAACTATGCATTCTATTCTCCTCTTGGAATATATGGTTTTTTTGGATTTCTTGGTTGATTCTTGATTTTTGTTTTGTCCTTCTCAAGTTTTATTTTGGTAATATTAAGTCTTTTTTCTTTAATATGTAAGGGGTTGATTTTTAGGGTTTAGCTTGACTCTACGGACTAAGGTTCAATATATCCCCCTCCGGGCCCTCCCCCGGTCAGCTTGACGGGCCAGCCAACAAAGTTTCGATTCTGTTTCTTCTATTTAGGTTTCGAGCGCGTTTTTATTGATTATTTGTTCTTCTTATCGTTACTTCTTTTGAAAAACGATGCTTGGTCTTGAAAATAATGCTGAAAGGACGATTTTTCTTCCCCCTCTCAGATTAACAAGTACATACAATCAGTCTAATTTCGACTCTTGCCTCCTTTTTTTTGTTATCATAAATGTTGTAGCAAATTTCGGATTTTATGTTCTATGTGATTATATGCAAATAGTCGGGCTTGCTGAAGTTAAACTTCAGATGAACTTTTTGTATTCATTTTGGCAATTTTAACTTGATAACTATGCTAATTTTCTGGTGCTCATATTTGGAATTGATAAATGGGGTTCTGTTTTTCTTTATTTTTTTTCTTCTTTTTATGTTRGCCAAAAATCGGGGTATTCTGATTTTTCACTTTTTTGTTTACGTATTCTCGACGATGGTGCTTTTGTATTGCTAACACGGTAACTTGGATATGCCTAAGCGGTGACTACCGGTCAGTGCTAATTTGCTGAGTTCTTGTTTTAACTTGAAGTGCTTTTATAAATTTTCTAGGGGATTTGGGTGGCTCCTCTGCACATGATGAAGTTGGAGGGGATCTAGATCAGAGTTATTGTGATGGAGTCCCCAATTCACCATCTACTTCAGGTGGGTTCCGTCAGTTATCTTCAAGGACTATATAAAGAAGACATGCCTTCACAGCATATATTTGGTGGAAATTGGAAATATTGTACAAGTCATATTATTTGCCCAAAGAATTTGGTTTTCAGACTGTAGGGTGGTTGAGGTCTTGGGAACATTCAATGGTCAGATCAAGTCAGCCCCGCCACAATGAAATATTGAATGACTCCCAACCTGTTATGCCCTTTTTGGCAGCAACTAAGCGTTTTGGAGATTTCAGCAGGGAAATTTTGCCTTATCGGTTCGTATGTCTCTGTCTTTATTTGTTTTGTGTGTTCTAACAATATCTTCAAGTGTCTTCCAGGTGGCCATGGTCAAATTGTTTCTATGGATTTCATTATAGGCTTTAACAGCCAATAGTTACTATATTGTTAAAACTATTTATACTTGCATGGTTGCATCTCAAGTGATGATTTTTGCAGATTACTCTTGATAACTTGTGGCAATTTCTAAGTAGATATTCATTATGAAAAAAATTGCTAAGTAGATATTTTGTTTGTTGAGAAGTATGTAATGGGTTGCTATTCTGTCTTCAGCTCAACACCAGGAGAATCCTTTGCTGTTACTTGGACAATACAGTGACGATGAATTGGAGGATGAATCAAATAAGGGGCTTAAGAATGACGTTACTGAGAATTCATTGATTGAAGATAATGGACAGGTTAGCTGAATGTTGCATGGTCTTTACTTGATAGTCTAATGCATCTATTGACATGTATGAATACTAAAAGGGCCATTTCACAATGATGTTCCTGGCCATCTATGGTCTTAGGAAGGAAGACTGAATACAGGGCTAACCTTTGGCATACATTTTATATGAAGTGGCTGCTCTCATACTTGGACTTGCATTATCATGCATGACTATCATTGCATCAATAAACTGCCCCTATAATAAAAATAATAATCAAAGATGCGTGTCATTGTTTCTTTATGTCTTTATTTATTTGTGCACCAACATCCTTGTATTAATATTTGCTTTTGTTTTCAATTTTTGATTGTTGTTTGTGGATATCTGATAAAAAACTGATACTCACTTGGAACTGTGGCTTCTCTCCTGTACTTGTAGTAATTCTTTAATACATGCATGACTATAAATCCTAATTCCCAAAATCCCTGTCTTAAATGTGTTCATTATAGTACAGGCTCTAAGCTCTCCCATCTCCCCTAGGTATTGTATGTCTTAAATATGTAGTACTATTGCCATGTATAAAATGACAGCTAGTTTAACTTAAACATTTGTTTTGACAGGTAAAGGAGTCTGGTGATACAGAATCTGGAGTTTTAGAAAACAATACTGGCAAAGACGTTGCAGCTCAACAGGCCAAGGTAGAGGATGTGGAGAAGGATGCTGCTTCAAATCTGGATGATGATGAAATCAGAGGAAGTGATGCTACTGTTTCAGGAGAACCTCACAACCAAGCAGATGCAGCTGCACAAGTCTCTGATCCAGGGTCTTCTGGGGTACAAATCATTGGAGAAGTGGCTTCTGGGTGGAAAATAGTGATGCATGAAGAGAGTGGTCGGTATTATTACTGGAATACTGAGACCGGAGAAACTTCATGGGAACCACCTGATGTGTTGGCTCAGGGATCTGAAATAACCACAGAACTGAACACATCTCATATTACTGAAGAAAAGGAGAATGCTTCCCGAGATATGCATGCATCATCAAGCCCAAATTTTCATTCGAACATGTCTGCTATTAATGAACCTGAAGGCTCCATCTTAGCTCCTGAAACTCAAGAAAACTGTGAAAGTGGCTTTCATCAGAAGAAATGGAATGGACACAGAGTTGAAAGTCAAGATATTCTAAATTTAAGTTCCAACATAGAACAAATTGAATCGACTGAGAGTTCTGTCACACTTACTGTATTGCATCACCAAGCTTTGTCATTAGGTGATTATGTTCCTGCGCAGCAGTCAAATAGTGCTCTTTCTAGCACAATTGGTCCAGCTACGACAGTTTATGATGATAAGGATGAAAAACCAACAGTAGTCAATGAGCAGCATGAGTCAGCAGTGGCTCTTTCTTCTTCTCTTGTAAAATATGGTGAAAGCCTGTTAAAACGGTTGATGTCACTTGAAGGGTATTATATTATTGGCATCACTGTTAGTAATTTTTCTTTCCAAAATATGTATGCATGTATATGGTTAGGTCCAGAATTATGACTCAATTATGAGTGTATTGCCATACTCTATTGTTAGTTTTGACCTTATGATTGAAGGTCTCTTTGGAAAATGAATGTAGGCAAGCCTCTAATACTAGGATAGTAAACTCATGCAACAGTGTCGTTGGTATGGAAATTGGACACAATTAAGATTGGACAAAACTAGGCTTGGCTCTTTTTGAACTTTAGACTGCCAACTGTCCAAAAGTGAACTTTTATCTGCACACAAATAGTATTTTAGTTCTTACGGTTATTGCAGTTTGGCCAATCCATCCAAAATTTGTATATCTTCTATGTGCTGCAATGGAAATTACATGTTGGTTTTGTTCTGAAAAACACTTCTGCTGTTTATTATTTTGAATATTGGTACATGAAAAGATGTTTGTTTGCTTAAGTTTCTGTGCTTTCTTTCTTATTCTTTAAAGCTTTTTGCACATTTAATACCTGAATATGTTTGGTTTTCAGTTACAAGTATCATGACCAAGGATATGACTGGTTTTGTTCCAAAAGTTGCTTCTGCTGTTAATTTTGTTTTGAATATTGATTCATGGAAAGATGTTTGCTTATTCTTAGTGTTTAAAGCTTTTTGCATATGTAACAGATGTATATATTTGGTTTTCAGATACAAGGATCATGGCCAAAGATATGACTGGATATCAAAGTACACCATGGAAGTTGAGATCAGACTTTCTGATATCAAGTCACTTTTGGCTTATGGTTCCCCTCTTCTTCCATTTTGGGTGCATTGCGAAGCACAGCTTAAACGACTTGGTTGTGCCATTAATGATCAAGTTTTGCAATTTTATAAGTCTGAGCAGCTAAACAAAGTTGAGCATCATCCTGTTTCATCCTTCAGAGGAGATGGTATCTCCTTGCAAAGCATGGGAGGAGAATCTGAAGTGGGTGAGAAGGATCAAGTACTGACTTCTGCTAATGAAACACAACACATTTCTCCAGATGTTGATAAATTAAATCTGGTTCACAAAGAAGCTCATGGTAGGCATACACGTGTTGACAATATAATGACTAACCATGCATTGTCTTCTGGACTTCCCACTGAACTGAGCAAGGAAATGGAAGGAAAAATGGAAAAAGACAATGAGACAGCACTCCTAGATGCATTTATTTCTAAAAATGCAACCCGGACTGGAGATACAGACATGGATGTGGAAATGGAAGTTGATGAAGCTCCTGCAAATAGCATAACTGGAGATTCATTAGTTACCAAAGTCTTTCCTCCATTGGAGCAACAAAACCAGATGACTCCACCTTCTGTGGAGTGCCTAACCTTAGAGCCTGGAAATGAAATTGCTGCCCCACCACTTCCAGATGAGGAGTGGATTCCTCCACCTCCACCTGATACTGAACCAGTTCCTCCACCCCCACCCGATGAACCACTCCCCTCATATCCTCCACCCCCACCATATTCTGAGACTGTTACTTCTCTTAGTTATGCAGAGCAATACAATTTGGGTTATCCAGTTTCTAATTTTAACTACTATGGCACCACAATGACAGAAGTGCCAATGGCTAATTATTATTCTCATGGGGAAACACATCAGCTAGCTGAACCCCAGCCAGCACAGTATTATGATACAGTACAGAACACCTATCCCGAAGCTGCTCCTGCAATGGTCAATCCTGTGCCTACTGAACCTGTAGTGTACTATGACCTTCCTAATGGAACAATGCCTCCTGTAGCTGTGATCACTAGCTCAGAATCTGCTGGTTTCTACAATGAATCTGGACCTGTAGTTAGTAGCATGGAGTCATCGGGTTTCTATTGTGAATCTGGTTCTGTAGGTTATCATGATACTGCTGCTTCTGTTCAGATGGGATCTGTTGAGGCCCTTACAGAGTCTGGATCCAGTTCATTACCAAGTGCAAAGGTTGAACCTAATTTTTCTACCAACTCAGTCAGTGCACAGGTTCCATCTATACAACCCGCAGTTCAAGCATCAACAACCACTGTAGTATGTGAGAGTGCTCCTGCCCCAGCAGCAACCACTGCTTCTGCTTCAGCTGCTTCCAAGGCTCAATCTAAAGGTATGTACAATTTCTGAAAAACTTTTGCTACACTTGACTTCAAAAGTTCAACATTAACTGTAATGTCAGGCTAATGTATATCTGCTGTGCAGGCTAATCCTGGTTACTTTTAAGTAATTCTAAGGGTCTGAATATTTTTGACTAGTTTTAGGATGAACAATTGACATAGCTGTGCCATGGTTAGAATTCATGGAAACTGGAGTATCCAAGTATCTTGTAGGGAGTCCATCTTTTTTTTTTTTGAAACGGTCACATGCCCCAAAATCAACCAATCTGGTATTTTTACTTACATTATCACATTCTTATTGAAACATGGAGAAACTATCTTGAATGAAAATGACTGTTTACGTTATAGTAAAGTGTCTACATCCAGTGCCCTGTTTCCAAGGTTCAAAGTATCAACACGATATGCCCAATACAGGGTGTATCAAATCGTATATACACCTGTGTACAAAAGTGTATCAATACTTTGAAAAAGAAAAAACTAAGAAAAAATAAAAGGTGTATGTTAAAATATCAATACACCTATGCCAATACACAAAAGTGTATCGATACTTTGAACCATGCCTTTTTCAAAATTTGATGAAAGGAACCAAAGATACTGTTATTTACTGAAAAAAAGAACCAACGGTGCTCTTTGTCCTCTTATGTGGCGTTTGATAACTCTGAAGTCTGATGTCTGAAAAGTCAAAAATCTATTATTCAGGTCTGAAGTCTAAAAAGTGGTAGATATGTTTTTTTTTTTTTTTGGCTTTTCAGAGCCTTTGAGAATTAGGAGTGTTTGTGTTGGGGTATTCTTTCAATATTTGATAACTGCCTACTTTACTATTTTGCCCCTGGAAATAGGTTGTTGGGGTCTCTGCTTCCTTTCATCGAACCTGGGCCTCAATCGCCAAAGCTACTGAACAGCTTCATCCTTCAGCGGCAAATGGATAGCAAAAGTGTGGTGGCAGGGATCAACATGGGTTAAGAGGAGATAGACATTTGGGCTAGAGAATTGGGGTGTGGGTCAAGCAATTGGCCTTTGAAATATTTAGGACTCCCTGGGCCTGGCCACAGAAGCCTGGTTCAACCACTAAAAAAAAAAATATTTAGGACTCCCTTTTGGTGCTAACCCTAGATCATTGAATTTTTTGAGATTCAATAGTGGAAAGATTCAAGAAGAAGTTTGTCTATTTGGAAGAGGAACTATATTTCCTTAGGGGGTAGGATAACTCTTATTAAATCCACTTTAGCAAATCTCCCAGTATATTTTCTCTCAGTGTTTGATATGCCTCAGTCCATTGTCAAAAGATTAGAGAAGATCATGAGGGATTTCTTGTGGGAACCGGGGGAGGAGAAGAGGGATCAATCGGATCATCTCATTAGATAGGATATTGTGTGTAAGGGGAAGAAGAATGGTGGTTTGGGGCTGGGAAGGCTTAAGGATAAAAATGTGGTGTTATTAGGCAAATAGCTGTGGAGATTCCCATGGGAAACAGATAGACTTTGGGCAAAAAGTGGTGGCTAGCATTCACGGGCTCTTTGAGAACATGTGGGTTGCTGGGGTTTCTAGCAGGACTTCCAGAGCTGCACCTTGGAAAGCAATCCACAAGGTCCTTCTGCTTTTCCTCAATCACATCAGGTATGACCTAAACATGGGAAATAAAGTAAGATTTTGAGAAGATCTTTGGGTGGGTGAAAATCCCTTGAAGATTTCTTTTCCCTCTTTGTTTGCTTTATCATCTCTCAAGGGTAGAACCTATTTGTGACTTCTTAATTCCTTCTCCCTTGCTCTCGGGTTTTGGGTGGAATTTAGGATTCCGGAGAAATGTCAGACTCAGAATTGATTCATGTATCCAATCTCCTTCTCTTACTGAATGGGGTGTACCTTGACGGTAGTAGAGGAGACACTCGGGTGTGGACTGGTAATCTTTCAGGGGTCTTTAGTGTTTTGTCCTTTTTTGAAGCCTTGTCTGCCCCACAATTCCCATCAGTCTCTTTCCCAGTTAAGGAAGTCTGGAACCATCCTGTTCCCCCCCAAAGTGGGTGCTTTTTGCTGGGAAGTTCACCATGGTGCAATCAACACATGCGATAGGCTGCAAAGGAAAAGACCTGGCTGGTGCCTCTCTCCAAACAGGTGTATCTTGTGCAATTTAGATGGTGAATCTGCCTTTCATCTTTTCATTTCTTGCCCCTTTGCTGGTTAAATTTAGGATAGAATTTTTGCTCTTTTTGGTTGCAGGTGGACTTCTCTGAGAAGTTTGGATAGGCTTTTTGATCCATCTACCTTTAGGTGGCCAAGAAAAAGGGGGAGGATGATGTGGAGGTGCACAAGGGCTGCTGTAATATGGATGATTTGGGAAGAAAGAAACTTCAGAAGTCAGAATATTCGAAGATAAGGAAAGAAGTGTAGTGTTTGTGCTCGACTGTGTGCTGGTGAAAGTAGTGCATTGGGCAAAAACAGTGAGCTTGTTGTTCTCTGAATTTATTGCTGATGATTTACTCAGAAACTGGAGGGTGATTGCAGGGTCCTCATCCTCCAAGAAAAGCCTTTTGTGGCAGTGGGGTCCACCAACATCTGATTTCCTCAAGCTGAATGTTAACAGGAGCAGTGTTGGTAATCCAGGCCCTTTTGGAATAGGAGTGTTGATAAGGGAGAAATCTTGGGGTTGTTCTTGGGACCAATTGGGGAAAGGAATTCCACAAGAGTTGAGTTGGAGGCAGTTCTGTATGGCTTACAAAAAGCAATGGAGTTAGGCATTCAGAAACTGATAATCGAAGGGGACTCTAAAGTGATCCTAAGCTGGTTGAGAGGAGAGAAAGAGTCCTTGGTGGTTCAGAAATGAGATCAAAACATTCAGAAGTCTGTCTAGAGATATGCAAATATCAATCCGGTGGGTTCCAAGGTCGGCAAACAATTTAGTATATCAATTAGCAAAACAAAGGGGTTAGAAGAGAACAGACTTTCTGCGCATGGTTGTAATTCTAAATAGCAAAATTCTGGGTTTGTCTTTCTGGTTTTTTCCTGTTATTGTCACAAGGGTAGTAGAGGCTGCTCTCCATAAAGCTTGCTCTGTTTTTACTGATAAAAAAAACTAATCCTATCTTGTGTTGGGGGGGGGGGGCACATAGAAGAGGAGTTATAGTTCCTATTATCTCTCTCTTCTCTGTACTGTTGGCTTTTCTCATTCTTTTCAAATTTTAACCAGTCTTCTTTTTGCATTAAAAAGTCCTATTTTTCCCTCCTTCAAGTTCTAATCCTTGGCAAGCAAAGTTACTGAAGGGCTAAAATTTCGTATTTTCTTTTCTCCCATTGTATCTGATCAACTGTACCACAGTTAAGTTGATGCTGCACCACTTAAATTTTGCAACCAAACAGTCTCTTGCTCTCTTAAATTTTTGTAGGCTAGACCTTAAGATTTTTTTTCCCATTTTATCAGCTCTACGTGGGAAGAAGCGAACAATTGCTGTTGCACCTACTTTGCGATCTAATAAGAAGGTCTCCAGCCTGGTGGACAAGGTGCATTTGCAATATATTTTTTCTCTATGTTATGATTTAATTACTTAATACTGTAAAGGATGAAACCTTAATTTCTCCTTACCAGTGGAGGGCTGCGAAAGAGGAGTTGCATGAAGATGAGGAAGATGAACCGGAAAATGCTTACGAGATGTTAGAAAAGAAGCGGCAGAAAGAAATAGAGGTATCTCCAAACTTGTTCCCATATTGTGTTGGCTCACTGTTCTTCCATGGGTCTTCTGTTTTACAATTCAGTTTGTCTGCTGTAGGAATGGCATGCACAACAGATTGCCAGTGGAGAGGCTAAAGATAATGCTAATTTTCAACCTCTTGGAGGAGACTGGTATGTTGGTTTTGGACCCTCCTTATCAGTCATTTATTTATTTTTGATGAATGATCTTACCAGTCATATATTGCACTCGTATATATTAATCCTCTGGTCATAAAAATACTTTTTAACATGCCTTTTAAAAAAAGTACTTTTAACATGTGAGGTCAAAGCAAATTATTGACAACAAGGGCAATTTCTAGCTGCTTACTACTAGTCTATGTTAGCAAGAAACATAACGCCTAGACAATCTTGGCCAAGGATTTAGATCATGTTGTTCAAATTTGCTTTTTCTTTTTTTCTTTATTTGAACCTTCCTTTTTTTTCAGCACTGTTTGAATCACATATCTGTACACTGGATTTGCTGTATATCGTCATTTACATTTCCATGCCTCTACCTATTACACTGATGTCTTATTATCTGGTTTAGGCGCGAACGGGTGAAGCGTAAGAGAGCCCAATTAATCAGTGAGAGTGTGCAGACTCAATCAGAGATACCTGCTAATGAAAAACAGCAACCTGATTTAGTTGAACTCTCGAAAGATCTCCCAGCTGGATGGCAGGTATGCTTAGAAACATGTTACAGCTCTCAATATCTGTTTTTGTTTTATTGCAAATTAAATAGTATCATAACAGAAAAGACTTGAAGAAAGACCTCAGTGCCCCAATCTGTGCATATTAGATGGTGCTCCTGCTCTGGGAGCTTGAACTCATACTTTCACAAGAAATATGTTATAAAATTGCATTCCAAAATGTTAGGATGTGAGTTCAAGATTCACTTCAATTACATTGTCACAGGCGGCCCACCATCATAAATGCACTCTACATTTCCGTCTATTTTTATCATTATATATAATGATAAAAATAAATGTTAAATGCACTTTACAAATGCTCCTCCTATAATAAACTTCTCTTCTTCTTCTCCTCCTTTTGCACATTGAATATTTAATGTCATATCTTCACAAATGTTTCTTGATCCATCAACCAAAAATGATACTCTTGATTGTGAGAACATGCCTACTGAGGTGAACACTGAGGGTAAAGTGGAATTAAGGATTCAAATCATGAGTGGGAGGGAGGACCACAATCATGTTGACCCTTGAGAAATAGGCTGAAAGAAAAATGACATGATTCCATCTTAAGTTTTCAAAATACTAAAACATCTTAATCATGATCCTTTAGGAGAGGTAACCCTATTSTATGATTGTACCTTGTTCTATAGTTGTTGAGGTATATTGGTGATTTTTGGCGACAGTTGAGTGCTTAATCACTTAGCTGAGGCTATGTAATTTTATAAAACAAAAAACTAAAATCTAGGTCTAGGTTAGTTCCATTGTTTAATAACCAATTAAAGTGCATATAAACTGAAAATAACAATTTCTTTATTAATATTTTCAAAAACAACACTATAATATAATAAATATTTTATCGAGTAATTGTTATCCATAAAAAGTATTCAATTGCGTAATTCCATAACAAATCAGCAACTAGAGAAGGAAAAGATAAATACAAATCCATAAAAGGTATCAATTGCGTAATTCCATAACAAATCCATAAAAAGTATTCAATTGCATAATCAAAATTTAAGATTTAAGATAAATCCAAAGGAAAAGATAAAAGAACAAGGGGTGGAGCCACAGTTTTATTATATAAAAGAGAGTGTTATAGAAAAAAAGAGGGAAAACTTATGATAAAAATAAAYATCTTTTTTATTGCAAAACCCGTCTTCTTTCTTTCCTTTTTCTCTTATTAAAACCCTTGGATCTTTAAATTCCAATACTAAAATCTTAAAACAAAGCACGAGTGATATATAAAGGCCATTACCCAAATCTGGGTAGTGGAAGTAGGGGTAAGCATGGGCTGGGCTGGGTTTTGGGTCTAGTTATTTACTACACTAATAAATAAATAAGAGGCATCTAATTGATGCCTTGACAACTATGCCTATTCATGGAACCAATAAAAGGCAAGTGTACCAATTCCTAAAACTGGGAAGTAATTATTAAAAGGCTCATATTAAAAATCAAGTCACCCAAAACCATGACTTGGTGTGGAATCAGTAGAAAATTGTTATCTTATTCCGTGGTTTCTTTCATTTGTTTCTGTACTAACATTTTCCTTTTCATAATCAACTAAAATTATAGAATGATTGTAACCATATGTTCAATAAGGTTTTAAGTCTGCTTCTCATTTTGTCTCATCACGCATAGTTATTGAGGCCATGACTAAATTGTTTCTTTATTTGTTTACCCTGAGGTTCAGATGACTGGTAGAGAGGATGAATTGCCGGGGTTATTGTTTCTATTTCATTTGCTCTTAAAATTTGAAGATTTGAGTTACTTAAACATGTTTCCGGTTCTTCATCTTCAGGCGTATTGGGATGATTCCTCAAAAGAGGTGTACTATGGGAATGTGCTTACCTCGGAGACAACTTGGACCAGACCCACGTGATGCATTTCACTATTTTTCTGAGATCAGAAATTCCCTGTCCAAGGCTTCTTAAAATGAAAATTCATATTTCCAAATCAGGGATGTATAATTATTTCGATGTGCCCTTTTTTGGCATATAAAAGCTCGCTGCAGTTTTGTTATTGTTTTGGGTGTTTCTTTTCTTTTCTTTTTCCTTTTTAATTTTTAGGGAAAATTCCCGGTTAATAACCTGTACTTTGGGCCTAGTGCCACTTTGGTCCCCGGACTTTAAAATGCGTCAATTCAGTACCCAAACTTTCAAAATATGACAATCCAGTACCAGCTGTTAACCAGCCATTAAGTGACATTTGAAAGACACAAATGCCCTTCGAGTATTAGTTAATTTTCTTTATCAATCATCCAAGCATTGACAAAAAATTAACAGTTTTAGATCCTTGCCTCTTCTATTCAAGAAAGTTGGGATCATCAGAATGCTCGCTCAAATATGACCCCAACTTTCTTTAATGGAAAAGGCAAGGATTTGAGACTGTTAATTTTTTCTTTTTTTGTCAATGTTTAGATGGTTGATAAAGAAAATGAAGTAACACTTAAAGGATATTTGTGTCTTTTTCAAATGCCACTTGACGACTGCTAATAGCTAGTTAACGACAGGTACTGGATTGTCACGTTTAAAAGTTTGGGTACTGAATTGTCGTATTTTAAAGTTTGAGGACCAAAGTGCAGGGTACTAATCGAGAATTTTTCCTAATTTTTAAGCTTCAATACTGTCCATTTCTTCCCGATAGAAGCGACAACAAAGTACCGATATCAATCAATGTTGTTAGGACTGGACTAGACTGTTGGATCGTGAAGATTGGTATCCGACAACCGAAAAAAGATATTAGGCTTGTTCAAGCCTTTCTGAATTCTATCTCTAACATTTTTTTAAACTCCATGTTTTGATATTTAATGAATTAGAAAGATAATATGGAGCCATTTAGTATATATTATTAATTTTATTATTATGATTATTATTATTATTATTAATATTAATTTTTAAACGAGTCTAATGGTTGAATACTTGAATTGGACCTTTTGGACCGTTTGAACCATGGTTTAGTGAACAAAATGGGGGATGAATCGATGATTGTATCCAGTCTCCTGCTAATAACATTGGTATTAATGTACTAACACATTGAGGTGTTGATGTATTATCATCATCAATAGAATGTAATGTAATGGGTTCTAATTTATGAAACTCCAATTTTCTATTCTCAAATGTGAATCTTGAATCATTTTCTCTCTTTTATGAATATTGGTTTTTAACTAATATTTCTTTAAATTTGAAGACTATTGAGCCTTGGCATATGCGGCCAATATCGAGTTTGTCTGGATCCTCCATCCCCTTTTGCCTCCCTCTTAGCCAGAAGAAAAATCTGGCCACGAAATGAAAGCAAATGACTGATAGGGATCATATTAGATAGTTGTATGCCCTTAACTCCAATTAGAATGATGTACATTATGACATTTATTGTAAATAAATAAAGTATATGTTTGATTCATGTTATTGTGGTATGTTTCTATGTAATACTCTTAAACTAGACGCTTAATGAGACTTGTGTTAGTTTAGAATGTTTATAGCCGTTGGATAAGTCTGGGGAGATTTATCCTGCTAAGGTTGACACTGGTGTGTTGCCAAGTGTTAGGGTGGCCTGTCTCAACTGCCACGGTGAGACCCAAAGCACATGCAGTGTAGGTTTACTTGAAACCCTGAATCAGACCAGATTTTCAGTATTGCCCTGGACCTTGGAGATTAGTGGGCAAAACTGAAAAGTTACACCTGACCCCTAGACTCGATTATGATATTGCATTAGGTGTCGGATTGGACTGTTTTTGATATGCCAATTAGTGAGATTCTTAGAGGGGGTCAAAACCTGGGTATGTTGAGACAATCCAAGAATTCATTTGAGTGGGTGATCATAGTGATAGGATCAACCCCTTTGTCGGACAAAGGTAATGATCGGGGATGTACTCTCTCTGATGGAAACCAAGACTGTCGGCAGCCGATTTCAATCGTTGAGATTTGTTTTGCAAAATATATTTTATATACAGATATATATATATATATATATATATTATGGTTTCAAAATGTTTGCAAAATGTTTTAATTCTCGTGATCCATGTGAGTAGAGAGTGCAACATTGTTCCTTGCAGCCGAGGGAGAGGTCATCTCTTGTCGGACAATGTATGATCATTATGGGCTGAGAGGTTAAGTGTAAGACCATTGAGAGTAATGCCTGATGGGCTAGTCTTGCATCTGCCCACAGTCCCTAGGTGTTACAAGGTGGTTTGGCCCAGGGACCACTTAGTGTAAGTATTGGGCCCATAGAATCCATGTGATGGGCTCAGGGGGTTCATTGGGCTTTCTAGTGAATTTGGCTAGGCCTTGTGACAAAGGCTGAGCCGAACCCTTGTGGCTAATGTGTAGATCAATGCTTGGGTCCTACACTATACAAGGAAACCCAATTGGGCAGTAGTTTGAAAGGCTAAGTGAGCACATACTGTTAATGGGCCTAAAGCCCATTTCGAACTGTGCTGATTTGATCAGTTAAAGAAGGGGCGAATCTGAGATTAGATTAGCAAATAGGATAGGGTCTTACCCTATCCACTCAGAGAGTCCAAATCTGAATACAGATTCAGATCTGGAAACCTCCTAATCAGATTAGGAAATGACTGATCTAATCTGCAGATAAGATAAAGGTCTATCCTTATCTCTTAAAGGGGAATTCAGATCCAAATATGATTTGGATCAGCAACTCCTAATGGGATTAGGAGTTGATCCCTTTAAGATTATAAAAGGAAAAGGGGGCGGTAGCTTTAGAAGATAATCACATTCGAAATTCAGAGAGAGAACACAACACCTAGTGAGATTGAGCTGTTTTCTCCTTGCCGCCTCCTTCCTGCCGCCGCCATTACTGCTAGTTCGATCTCCTCTCTTTCAAACAGGAGCAATCAAGATTGGATCTTGATATCAGCCTTTGGGGAAAGGCTGATCTGAAGTTGTGCTCACAACCCCAACGAATTCTTGTGAAGGGTTCAGTTCTTTTGAAAGAACACTGTTGATTCTGCTCCATCCTACACTACGCCATCTTTAATGGAGCAGTCTTTGGTTCCTACCTTGGGCGTGAACACCTCCATTGGGAGATACTGTTTCTTCGCATCAGGTATATCCCTCTCATGCTTCTGGTTTCAGATCTGTTTTGGTTTATGGTTCAAGATTGATCATTGAAAATGCTGATTTTTCTAAAACAGGGAATGCAATTCATAGAGGGGAGATGAAATTTTTGAAATTTCGCCCAACCTACCTGCAGGGTTCGGCCATCCATATGATGGATCTCTATTCCCTTCAGTGGGCCTATGACTTGATTTCTGGTGTTCTAATCTCTTATCATGCCCAGTTTTAGCATTCAGAATCGGCTATGCCCAGTTCCATACTTGTAGTCTGCAGATTGCTTAAGAAAATACGGGAGTATCAGCATTCCATACCCATTTGGGTTCCTTGGAAATAATTCAAATTGTGAAAGGAGAGAAGTTGGAAAACTAAACCTTTAATCCCCCCAAACTCTTATTAAGCTCTGGTAATCTAGAGGTTCTGGAGATATCATAACAAGGCCAGGTTCAAATCAATCACTGAATCTCCTGTCCAAGAACGCACTGCACCCCAAGGTCCCCAACACATTTTTGAGTATCCAAAACCCCATTGTTTTCAAACTGTTGATCCATATGATTGGACTGTTCGTTCCAGAAATTGTCCAGGCAACTGGTTCTGTTTCACCTATGACCTGGTCTTTTGCCAAAAACCATTGATTTAGTGACCCACTAACCCGGGTTTCAAACCGGCATCCTATTTGACCCAGACAATGGCTTGTGGCCATTTTTTATTTTATTTTTTAAATTAAAACATGTCATCTATTTGAACCAGACGGTTGAATTGCTGGCCCAAAAACCGGTGGCCAAAACGGTTCTGATTCCAAGTCAGTTTTTAAAACATTGCCCGAAACATATTTTTGGCCTCGGTTGTGACACAATTGCCTATATCATTGCTTACTAGGGACAATACTGTACTTCCCCCGTCAATTGCCCACTTGATTCGATTTGATGTTGTTACAATTGATGTGAATTAATCTCATTGGTGCGTATTAGGGGACTCTCATAGGGCATAGGAGCCAAAAGACATGATACATATATTTTGTTATTTTTTACCATTTTAGATTTGATAAAAAAATTGTTACGTATTGGCCCGTATCGGCCGATATGTATCATTCCGGGACCTCTCCGATACGCCCCTATAGTGGGTGTATCGGGGGTCTGACCGGTTCAGGGGGTGGAGGAGCCCTAAACTGGCTCCCCTGAACTGGTTTTTGAAAAAAAAAAGCAAAAAAAAAAAAAGCTATCGATATTGCCTGATACACCCCTATTGGCATATCGGGCGTATTGATATTTTGAACCTTGATCATCATCTAAGCCTTCTCCCAACCATATGCTGTCGGCTATATAAGAGTTTGGCAAAAGTTTTAGTCCCAGTTACCAACCTAACAAAGCCCTCCTTTTTCAGGCTTGGGACGGAAAGTGATTAGGACCCTAATTTTGCACAAAAAAGAGTTGACATGATAAAGAGATGAAACTCGTCCAATATGAGGTATATATATATGTAATCTTTCAACTAATTAATAAAAGCCAGTCTTACTATCTTTTTTCAAAGCTTGGTGGTAGAAAAGCCCAAGGATATAACATTTAACAGTTATTTCTCTCTAGAGTAACCAAGGACAAGAGCAATGATCACAAATGAGAAAACATAACGATTTTTAATCTGTTACTCTAAGATTAAGCTTTCAAGTGCACAACCCTTTTTAGAAGAAAATGATGCAAAGCAAGTAATCATACCACTTGAGTTTGCCACTTCAAAACTTAACCATCACCAAAATACGAGTTAACTGCAACAGTGTCTATGAGCTGGATTTTATGCTGAAACATAATTAATTCAATGCTCTAAAGCTTCTTGTTTCTTAGCCTTCTCTTTCTCTAATAAGTACATTTGTTCAGCCTCTGGTATCGCTAACATTATTGCATGCATTTTGAAATTCATTTCTTCAATCTTTTCAATTAGTCTGTCATTTGTAAACATGCCAACAAGGACACTTTGGATTGTTTCCCAGCTTTCAATCAATGGTAAAGCAATAATCACAGCAGATGCAATGGTACCCCAAGCAATAGAAATGACTGCCCAAAATGTGAAGTACCCCAAATTGAACTCTCCTGCATTAACAAAATCATTATTGACTCACTAAAATGATAATAGAAGATAAATAAGGATTTTAAAAGGAAATACCTTAACTGTCAACATTAACTAGTTCATCTGTAAAGGTAATTGTGTATTCATGCAACATCCAAGGAACTGAAAGCAGCGCACAAATGAATTTACCTGCTGGAAGTGAGAGCATAGGCCATACTATCACGATGACAACAGTAAAAGCAACACCCCATTTTACTATCCAGGCTTTAGCTTTTAACAGCTTTTCCTCTCTGAACTCTCCAGCTGGTAACTCGCTCTTTTCCTTCTCAACCATGGTTATCTGCTTGGTAGTCCCCCAATCATAGTTTTGAGGCCATAAAAGACTAAATATAGCATGAACAGCTCCACCAGTCAGTATAGAAACCAGATTTCCAGCAAGCATTGGTGAGTTTCGGCCTGTAGTGTCCAGATTAACCCGACCATACTGAATGCTTGTGACTGATAACCATGTAATAATTCCAAGAATACAGCCAACGATGGTTCCGACAATGGCACCTGTTGAGTTGGCCTTCTTCCATAGAAGCATGAAGGCTATAGGGAGAACTGCTGAACCAATGAGTACTCCCATGGCTAGATACATCCAACCAAGTGAAACTCCTGCCTTATTCAGAACCACTGCTAGCACTCCCATGAAACATCCAAACCCTAGAACAACCCCCCTTGAAATTTTGAGAATTTGCTTCCCAGTTGCATTTGGGTTTATATAGGTACGGTATATGTCATATGTGCATAAAGAAGAAACAGCTATTAGCTCAGAGGAACCAGCAGATGTCACAGCCCTGAAATGCAAGAAAATCCAAGTTAGCTTCTTTCTCATTATCAGGATTGCCATAGGAACCAAATAAATCCTGGGAATACATTGGGCCAGAGTTCTACATGGTTTAGATGTTACTTTTCAATGCCACTTTACCTTGTTTCTGATATTCCTTATATGGAAAATTTGGTGTAAAACTCATTGATGTTCTTGCCAATAGTTGTAATTGCAACATATTGTACATTTGCTGACATCTAGACTTTTGTTTACTTGCATTGATATTCTTGTTTTATTTTTTCAATAGACCACACTCAACATGTAGCTCATAACACCCATCAAGACTGTTTAACTGAAAGAAGCATGCCAAGAGTTTAAGAGAACAGGGAGGAAAAAAGGTTGGGTGCGCTACAAATAGAAAATTTTAATTATGAAAATTTAATTAGAAAAAACTGAATGAATTATATTGTGAGAAGACTCTTCAGATTGGAATGACTTTGGAGGCCAATTGGATATAGTTAGCATGCATGCACCATTAGCTCAACAGAGGAAAACATTTTCAGTTTAGCAAGAAAACTGTATTTATTTTTTGTTTCCATTTTGTAATACTATAGTTAGCTAGGTTGGCTGCTACATAGATGCAAGAAACTCACATAAAAAGCATTGTAAGAAGTAGGATGGAACCCCCTTTTCCCATCAAAGCTATAGCAGTGGCAGGAGGGACAAGTCCATGACTGGCTTCACTTGCTGTTATTGGTAGATCAAGAGCTAGAGCTCCTATTCCCAATGATGTTGCCAGTGAGAAAGGTACAGCAAACCAAACCAGCCCACCCAATAAATAGCCTTTATGAGTTGATGAAGGCCGTGCTGCAATGGCACTAACCCAATATCCCTGTAAAACTTGACAGAGGAAAACATAAATATACCTGAAAATATTAGTTAGTTTAGCAACTACATTTTGCAAATCTAAACACTTCGGAGATAACTAGAAATTGATTACTCTAACAACTTATTGCCATATTGAAATTGCCAAGAGGACAGTAATACTTACATTGTCGACGAAGACAGTACCGAAGTTGCCAACAATGTTGATGATTCCGAAAACAAGGCCACCAGAACTCAACATTGTCAAGTAGGAACCCTTGTGGTTTCCACTAACAGGTCCACAAGCCTGTCCATCATGAGAAAATGTTTCCTGACACATTCTTGATTTGCTGGCAACTTCCAAGAGACGATCATATACAACATGTGGGCTGCCAAGCTCACTACTTGCCGTATAAACAAGGTAGACAAAGATGACCAGAACCACATGCACTGAGAGTAGAATAAAAAGCAGAAAATATTTGTAAATCCAGATATTTAGACACTATATAGCATTTGATATATGGATGCAGCCTAAATCTAATGTGAGGTAGGACTACCTATAGCAGAATGTATGTAGCTGGCCAAGAAAGTAGCTTTTAGTCCACCAGCTAATGTGTAAACTATCACTCCCAGAGGAATTAAAAAGCTTGCAGCATAAATGTCCACCCCAGTAAGTGCATTTACCACAGCAGAACCACCAAGAAGAAGCATGGCCGTCACAATTATATTTGTCAGAAAGCAGAAACAGAGGAAGACAATATGAGCAGCAGTCCCCCATCTGAAAGGAGGTTTCAATTGCATTAAAGGAAGAGTAAATCCATCCTGTAAGACTAAATAACAGGTACAGTACATCCATCATGTGAAACCTATTTTTCCTTCTACATAGAGATTGCAGACTAAACCCTAAATTGTGTGCATTTAGTGATTCATAATCATTAATCAGTCTGCAGTGGATTTCACAGTGGAATTCACCTCCAAAATATAGACATAGAAGTAGGAAACCCATGTGACTAATAAGTTACCTGGCTCTCACAATTTCACAGACAGTATGAGCATGAGGAGCTTTTCTTTTGATCTCTATAGCCATAATGCCAAACAAGAGCACCTACAAGGCAGAATGGAATAAGAGCAATTGAATTGTTTTCTTCCTTCTTGCCAAGAAAGAAGAATACAGAAATGTAGTTAATTCTATAAAACAAGAACAATATTTCATACTAGACAGACCTGGATGGTAGCCCCACTTGCATACCAAAATGGCCCACTAATACCATATTCCCAAGCAACATTAGAACTTTGCAGGATTGTGGCAGCCCAGGTCCACTGCAAATTCCAAGATCAAAATTGTTAGTGAAGAGTAGTCCAATTTAAACTAAAATTTGGAGAAGATTCAAGAGTGTAGGTGCCTCTAGTTAAAAAGGAACAAACACCTGGGATACAATCACACTGGCAATGAGTCCTGTCTTAACATTTCTGCCAGCCGTGTTGAACCATTCAGATGTGTGGCGAGATCCCACATATCGCTTTTCAAGCCATACCTGGTTAAGCCAGATGAAGTGCACAAACAAACAAGCCATGGATTACTAGGAATGAGCTATGTAAAGACGAGGGACGCATAAAAAAAGCGTGGTTGTCAAGATGGCCGAGTTGGTCTAAGGCGCTAGTTTCAGGTACTAGTCCGAAAGGGCATGGGTTCGAATCCCATTCTTGACAAATTTATTTTTTGCCCATGTTTAAGGCCTAAGTAAGCGCTACCATTACCAATTTACCATGCATGCGGCCGGTGAGAGAACTGAACCCAACATGATGCCATGGGCCCCCATTAAGGAGCTTAGGATCTGCTCGATAGTGGGTCCCACAGAAGATGAGTCAGGTTAAGAAAGAGCCCAAGCCCACTTGGTGGGGCCATGTCTCAGGCTCTCAGCCAACAGCCTTATAGGACAAAGGCCAACCACGACGTGTTTATCTCTCTGTAAGTCTGTATGTACCTTGCTTTTGTTAAGCGCTCATCTCAACTAGGCGGGGCCTTCTTGAAAAGCCAACCACCACACCAGTGCCGTAGTGCAGAAACAAATTAGCGGAGACACAGAGAGAGAGAGAGAGAGAGAGAGAGAGAAACGTACCAAGAAAGAAGTAATTACGGCAAAGAAAGCCCCAAAACCCAATATAACGGAGTAGCCAAGTCCCTGATTAAGAACAGGTTTGCCCTCAAAGAAACTACTCTGCCGCACGCACCCACCTCCATCCGCCACATGGTAGTATTTGCCGGAGAATCCAAACGGCGGACACTGAGAAGAAGAAGAAGCCATGAGCGAGGGTGGGGGGACTGGGGAAGAGGGGAACTCTTAATTTATCTATCAATTATCCATCTCATCTCCCTTCATCAATTATAAATATAGTTGGACGTGGACGGAGGAAAGCTGTAGGCTGTGTTGTGTTGTGTAGTGTAGGTAAGAATACAGAGGAAGTCAAACAAGCAAAAGTCTCTTGGAATCTTGGCTTGGCGCTACCCGCCTACCCCTCACTCTCATGTCTCATCTCAATCTCGCAAGTGGCAAATTGGAATATTCACGTCTTTTGTTCCTCTCCCATAATATGAATACCATCCTTCTCATCACTTGATGGTGGGCCCATCATCCATGGTTAAATCAGTTTTGGTTGGGACCTTATCATGAAAATATACAGCCTGGATTTTATTGTTCTTCTTGAGTGGAACTGTTCGATGGAACACTCCATAGTTTCCATTTTTTGTTCAACTAACAGCTATGGTCCTAATTTTCGGCACATCGCATCCCATTATTGACATTTGACAAACACTGCTTGTTTGGATTACCTAATTTTATGCTTTCATTAAGTTATTTGTTTATTCATGTGAACTCCATTTGTATGGGTGAATTAATTATTAGTTTAAAATGAAGACATTCTTTAGTCATTTACTGAATTGGCAAATCTTTTATACTTTCTTTTTTTCTTTTTTTTTTGGTAAAAGAGAGAGCTATATTATTATTATTATTATTATTATTATTATTATTATTATTATTATTATTATTATTATTATTATTATTATTATTATTATTATTATTATTATTATATATTAACGGGGATCCCATGGGGTGGGGATCGGGGTCCACGTGGGGCAGGGAGTGCTCTTCCCATCGCTGCACTGTCGTCGCCAACGGGGATAAAAATTTCCCCATCTCTGTCCCGCGAGGAAAATCATCTCCATCCTCGCCCCATTCGAGGCATATCCCCATGGGATCAGGGAAATGGGGAAAATTGCCATCCCTAAGTTTGATAAACAACCCTATCTCAAATTAATTATTGTTATTTTTGTATTGTAAAAAAATATTAAAAGTAGAATATAAAATATAAATGATTATTAATTATTATATAAAACATTTGTATATAGGGATGTCAATGGGTCGGGTTAAATGGTAAACCCGACTTGACCTGACCCTATAGGGTCGGGTTAGGGTCAAATATATTTGGTTTAGGGTCGGGTTAGAGTTTGATTCTTTGACCCGAGTTAGGTTCGGGTTTTGACTAACCCGCTCCGCCGGGTCATGATACCTTACATATATACCAAGTATTCTTGCATTTTTTTGACTTCTAAGTTTATAGGCTTAAAGTTTATAATTTATTTATATGTTGATTTTAATTTTCTTCTTTTTTTTTTAATGAAAAAAAAACACCTTAGAATCTATAAAACAATTTCATTATTTAAATTAATGTATTTTAGGTCTTCAAAATGTGTTAAAAATATATTTAAAACTATATGGGTCAAGTCGGGTCGGAACCGGGTTAAACCTTATAGTGTTAGGTCGGGCTCGTGAATCATATATTTTAAGCCGGGTCGGATCGAGTTCGGGTTGGGGTTCTGGAGGATCGGGTTAGGATTGAGGCAATCTCATGCCGGACACGACCCATTGACATCCCTATATATACTCTTACATGTTTCTATTATTTATCTTCAACTTAACAAATCCCGTGCATCGCATGGCTCCCCGCTAGTTATTATTAAAAAAGAGGAGAAGCAATTTACCATAAAAAATAATTTCACTAAAAAAACTAAAACAAAACAAAGGTTGAAGTTCTGTTCGATTCCTTATATCAAAGAGAACAGCCGGAATCTCATGAATACTTGAATAGTGGTGGAAGAGGTAGGAGATGTTTGGCAAACCAACCAGCATTTCCAAGCTTCTCCTTCATCTCAAATTCTCAATTGATATACCATGTCATGACTAGGGATGATCAAGGGCCAGGCTAGGCACCACTCACCGCATCCATATAAATGAACAAAATTAAATATATGAGTTTGAGTCCAATTCAAAATTTAAGAAATTCTCAACCCAACCTGACCCAAGTTGCATGCCTATATGATGGATGGGATTTATAGGAATGGTCGAATGCAATGTTCAAAATTTTGATACAATACATTTTATAGTGGTCATATCATATCATATCTTTTGCTTGACGATATGTCAATTTTAAGGTATTTTTAGAAACTCTTTTTTTAATAGATAAATTACATAAAATGCCACTTGTAAAAATACAAGAAAAAAATAAAAAATAAGGTTTTTACTCACCTGAAACACTTGACACAAATATTTGTGCATATCAGGCATATCGATATTTAAGACCTTGGAGCAATGCTTAGCCTCTCAGTCATTTAGGTCATATTTGGTTCAATTCTCATTTTTACCCAAGATGAAACTCTAAAATAGACAAGAATGGGTAAAAATAAGCAGAATGAGAAAATATTGTTATGAGCCTAACACTTTTTTCCCAAGAATGAATTCTTTTGAGTCTGACAAGTTTTCTTATGCTGTTCATTTTCATTCTTCTTCTTCAAAAAAAAAAAAAGTGTTAGTATTCATAAACCCCCAACCTAGGTCTCCAAAACTATTGGCATAGATGTGTACCGATGGATGATTGATCGTCAATGTTTACCAGTTGGCATATATGTTTTGTAAAAGTATTTCCGTAAAAGTGCTTTTATAAAAGTACTTTTGTAAAAGTGCTATCGTAAAAGTGCTTTTTATAAAAGTACTTTCGTAAAAATGTTTACCAGTTGGCATAGATGTTTTGTAAAAGTACTTTTGTAAAAGTGCTTTTACTTATTAAAATACTTTGTAAAAGTGCTTTCGTATAGAAGTACTTTTATAAAAGTGCTTTCGTATAGAAGTACTTTTATAAAAGTGCTTTCRTATAGAAGTACTTTTATAAAAGTGCTTTCRYRTAGAAGTACTTTTATAAAAGTGCTTTCACGTAAAAGTACTTTTGTAAATGTGCGCTTTCGTAAAAGTACTTTTGTAAATGTGCTTTCACAAAAGTAAACATCTATGGTAATAGTTTTGTAGGTAGAGTTTCCTTAAAGAATGAAAATGAGCAAGATGGGACATGATTATTTTTCATGTTGTAGGCTACTCAATTTTTGTGTCATGGGGCTGATTTTTTCTTCTAAAAAGAATGTRGCCCATGACAATAATTTTGTAACCAAACACTCTAATGTTATTCATTTTTGTCCATTATTGCCTAGAATGATCAAGAATTAAAAGAACGAGGCCCAGAGCAATGAACCAAACATGAGCTTAATTTTCCACCCCAGAAAAACATATAAGATGCTCTCTACCTTTACTTTTCCTTTACTTATTTTTTTTCGGGCCAAAACATCAAAATAGAAGTCATAAGTATGTACGACTTAGGGATTTTTCAATCCAAATACAGCTTGAAAGGTTTAGGGGCTTTTCACCAGTATGTATGATTTTATTTTAACAAAAAACATGGCAATTAAAACAAAATTGAACAGATTTGGAAACAATTACACATATATAAGTTGGTTAATATTCAACTTAAAACTCTTAGAATACTAAGGCCATATTTCATTTCTGTTATACTAGTGAGTGGCATGTAATTCGTACATGGCAATTTTTTATGATAATGGTGATATGATGATACTAAATAAAAATTATTTAGAAATGCGTTACACTTATTTTTGTTTGTTACACTTATTTTTGTTTAATATGGTGAATATACAATATTAGAAATGCGTTCAAATATTTTCTATATTTTTTATTTTTATACTTTTGACTCAAAATGTTGAATTGTTTTTTGTCACACTTATTTTTCTTTAGTATGGCTAATTAATATAGGATTCAATGAAAGAATAGGAGTTAATACATAAAATATAAGATTTAATGAGAGGGAACCAAAAAAGGAGAAATGTAGTAGTTTAAATTACATTTTGTGACTTCAGAGAGGGATTAAATTCAAAACTAGGGATATTCTAGTCAAGAATTGGATTCAATGAATATTAATAGAAGCTTATAAGACTTAAACGAATAGAAAAGTGATTGTTCAAGTTATATTTCTGTCATTACAATTAAAGAGGGACAAATTCTTTGTTATACATATTTTAGTCAAACAAAATTTTCACACTTTTAATAGTAGTATAAATATTATGACATTTACGAAAAATTATTAAGTATTGGCTAATGTGACAATGAATAATGAATAAATGTTAGTAATAAATATGAATCTCAAAGTCAATACGGAGGAACTAGTAAAAGAAACTCGGGCAAAACAGGTGCTGTGAGAGATGCAGAAGGCCAATGCTAAGGGGGTTTCACAAATCACAATCCAAGTGGGTACCACCATCATTGAGGTCACTGGACTGTCGGTCATCACGAGAGGACAAAAGGAGTCATCATCAGATCTGACTGGCTCTCTTTCATGTATCAAAAAAAAAAATCACCAAACTGGAAGGTCACACATGTCTTTCAAAGGACTGTGGAATTTTAGCAAAGAGGGAGGTCACACTCACACATGTCCAATTTCAACATTGCTACAGGGAAGTCTTAGCAAATAGGAGCAAATAGGGCAGTAATACAGTAGTTATAGATTAGTTGATCTAATATCTAGTTTTGATAGAAACAATTAAAATAGAACAAATCCCCATCAGTCTTTTGGTAGAATCTATACTTCAATTTCAAAATGCATTAGATTAAGAGCATGCTCTTACCATCATGTTTCAAACTTGATTTTCTTGATCCCTTTCATTTTCATATATAATCATCTAAACAACAGTAAACTTTTAACCCTTGACTGACCAAGAATCTCTCTCTCTTTCTCTGTTGCATGCTACCTCTCACTCTCTCAGTAGTCAGTATAATGGAATGAACTATGAAATGTTTGATAGAGATGTGCATTCTCATTTCTCAACCATATGCTGGATTGGAGGGAAGAAGGGTTTGTTTACAGGAATGGGATTTTGATGTAGAAGATGAATGTTTCTTGTCTTAACGAAGGGTAAAATTGTCTTTTCATTCAAATTGTCGAAGATAATAGTGGAAAGACAAGATATATTTAAGTCTACTTGCAAAACTTTAAGGTACGTTTAAGTCAATTTATGAAACCTACGGGTATGCTCAAGTCTTTTATCCCAAAAAAAAAATTAGGAATCAGTTATCCTTGCTCCTCGTTTCCCTTTTGGGAAATTTTTAAGAAATCAGTTATCAAATAACAGAGAAAATTAGAAAAAAAAGGTAAGAAAACTGATCAAAGAAATCTTTTGGTGCTTCTTGGTGTAAGCTCAGAGATATGAAGATTTTTATCAGATTCTTTTTTTTTTATACTTCTTTCTTCATAGTTAGTTCTTTTTTTATTGCTTCGATAAAAAAAAATTCTGAGGGGGGTATCTAAGAGGTTTTGAAAAGTCAGGTTTGATTTAAAGTGAATGGGAATTTTTAGATAATAACTTTAAAAAAATTATAAAATTTAGTTTTCAGATACTAACAATTAAAATGGGTTGAAGGTGTGCTTGCAGTGCATATGACAAGTTTTTTTGACATCCAGTCCAAATTAGATGATCCGAGCTCATGTGTGTGTGGGCCGGACCAGGTCTAATGCGGGCTCATGGTGGTATTTGGTTGGACTTGTGGCCTAATGTGGGCCTGGCCTGAACAAAAAACCTAGGCCCAAGTCTATAATTTCTGAGCCAGGCCGGGCAGGGGTGATTATGATCGCTACCAGCCGTAAGAGACATGAACTAGGTTAGGTTGCTTCTTTGATGCGGCTTGTGACACACACTTATCAAAGGAGATGGGATCAGGTCACCTGCCAACAAAAGATGTTCCAACACCCTCCCAACATCATCTCACACCATACATCTCATATAAGGCGGGTCCTACTTTTTTTGGTAGGTCCCAATATCATGGTAAGATGTGTGGTATTAGATCATGTTGAGAGAGTGTTGGAACGTCTTTTGTTGGCAGGTGATTCCGACTCTCTTTTTGAAGCACACATTCTATGAACCCTTTGATCCATCATTATTTACATTAACCATCCAAAACAAACAAGCCACACCGAACAGCTCCAACCTTCCTCTCTGACCCAGGTAACAAATTACCTGACAAGCCATACGACCTTAGGAGCTCAGAGCTCTGACCTACGTGGCACTTCTCCCTTTATCCGTTTGCATTGCTTGATGCCTTCAAAACGCATGGTGACATGTTGTCCACTTGGCAACAATAAGCTCGGTTCCTTCTGCTTCACGGGGAATTAGATAAGGGCCAATGCTGCGCTATGTGGGAGTACTTTGTAAGTAATGGACAGGTAGGGCCTATCACCTCTGAACGTGTAAGACACACTTTGACTGAACTTCACATTCTATATAAGGGTGATTCCTCACCCTCCAACGATACACTTACACTATTACTCTCTCTCTCTCTCTCTAGCTCTCTGTTCTGAATTCCTGCATAACCACTTTTGTTCTTTTTAGTAGTCCAGTATTAACTTGACCATTGGAGTCCCCCCGCCCGGGTCATCCCCCCAGGCTCTTCATCCAAGCTGTCATACCCAACAGGGACTCAGCGCAATTCGTGCATCATCATAAACTATCCCATTTTCCATCTCTTTATTCCTCTAGACAAATATGAAGCAGAGTGGTGAATCCTCTTTCTCTCTCTTAATCCTAGTTCAATCTAAACTCTAATCTTCTATTAAAAAAAAAGGGATTTTTGGACTACAACCCCCCCCCCTTAAAATCTGAAACCTGATCTGCTATTAAAAATCTTCAGATCGCCCATTCAACTTCTGAAGCTACCTTATACGGTTATACCCTTATCTCTATGTGTCAACTGTCACTTCTTTCCTAGAGCACTGCTGCGGTCCTGGAGATTTCTTTTTTTTTTGGTAGAAACTAGCAAGAAAATATATATTAAAACTAGAAACAACAGAACAAACAATACAAATTAAGGTCTAATTAAGTCTTGCTCGGCCATATCTTGGACCCACCCAGGGGGATCATGGACAAACAACCCAGACTCTTTTACACCTTTTCTAGCTAGTATATGTGCAACAATGTTACAAGATCTATTTACATGCTTAAAAGAGATAGATAAGTCTTCAATAAGTAATTTGATATCCATGCACAGAAAGTTTGCATCCAAAGCCAGATCAAAGTGTCCTGTCTTCAAAGCCTGCACCAGAGTTAGGCAATCAGATTCCACTAATATGTCTTCTTCCTTGAACATACTCAAAACTTCTAAACTGTTGAGAATCGCCATCGCTTCGTCTTGGATGGAAGATGAAGCTGATGATTTTCCAAAAGATGCCGCTATCACTATCCCATCAGCATCCCTTAGCACTGCACCAAAACCTGAATTCCCAGAACACAAAAAGCTCCCATTTACATTCAGCTTAAGTCTTCCTGCTTCTGGTGCCTCCCAAAAAGTGGTACGCTGATTTCTAAGGTCTAGATATTGAGGAGAAGAATCTCGCAATTTTGCTTGGGAAATCATCACACACTCTCTCTCCACATCCTGTAAGATACAGCAAGGGTGACTCTAGGAAAAGGATCTGTATTTTCAAAAATTTTGCAGTTCCTAGCCTTCCAGATATTCCATAATAACATAAATGAAAAAGAAAGCAGTTCATCCTTTCTGTCTTTGTCTTTTGAGCACAAATCCAACCAAACCGAGAGCCACTGATTGAAAGAAGTGAAAGATCCTCCCCTAAATCCCAAATAATTAATATGAGATCCAAACCAAGTTGCTTTAGCATGCTCACATTCAAATAAACAGTGTAAAATGGATTCAAAAGATTGTTGTAAACATGCTGGGCAATTGCTATCATTAGAGAGCTTTCTTTTGTGGAAGTTTTCTTTCACAGCTAATGCATTTTGTGAACATTTCCAAATGAAATTTCTTATTTTCGGATCAATTTTTTGCTTTCCAAATTTCAGCCAACTGTTTCTTCCCCATACCCCCTATATTGCCAAATTCTGCACCCCCAATTGATGGTTTGCTACAGTTTGAGACTAAAGCATAGTACCCAGTTTTAACAGTGTATATCCCCTTCGGATGATAGGTCCATTTAAGCTTGTCTTTCCAGTTGCCTCTAGCTAGGTTTACACTTTGGATGTTTTTTGCAATAGCCTCTCCAAAATTCTCCTCAACCAGTCTGGTTTTCCAACTTCTACTATTCTCGTCCATTAGATCTTTAACCCAAATCAAAACAGGGTTATTTGGTCTAGGGCCCATAATTCTAAAGGATACTATCTGTTGTAGCCATGGGTCATCCCAAATTCTAACTTTTGTTCCAAAATTTACTGCCCAACAAGTTTCTTTTTGGAGGACCTCTCTTGCTGCTACCATACTCTACCAGCCTAAGATCCCTTGGTAGGCAGTTTATCAGTTAGGAAGTTTCTTCTTTTTAGGTATTTAGCCTTAATAATCTTTACTCAAAGATTATTCTCATCATTACAAATCCTCCAATCTTGCTTTGCTAGCAGAGCCAGATTGAGTTTATAAGGATCTCTGAATCCTAACCCTCCTGCAAACTTATTTTTATTGAGGACTTCCCAGCATACCCAATGAGTTTTTCTATGTTCCTTTGTCCCCCACCCCCCAAAAAAAAAAAAAAAATCTAGTTTGGATTCTTTTCAGCTCATTAAACACATCTTTCAAGAGAAGAAAGTAGGGCATGGTATAGTTTGAAATGGCATTGGCCACTGCTTTTATCAATATTTCTTTTCCAGCTTGAGAAAGTAGAGATTCATGCCACTTAGAGTGTAATCTTCCAACTCTTTCAATGAGAAAGTTGAAGAGGGCTTTCTTTGATTTTCCAATTTTTGTGGGGAGCCCTAGGTAAATAGAGGGAGATTCTACTTTTTTCATTTTAAGAAATCTTGCCAATAATCTTTGGAGTCTATGATGTAAATTTCTACTAAAAAAACCTCAGATTTTGAGAAATTTACCTGTTGCCCAGAGGCCTCCACATAAGATTTGAGAGCATCCAGTATACTTTGCCCATCCCCCAGCTCTGTTTAGAAATTATGTAACTGTCATATGCAAAAAATAAGTGAGAGACAATTGGACAGTTTCTGGTAATTGAAATGCCATTTATTTTCTTTTGGGAAGCTAGCTCTATGAGCTTTGAAGACAGAGTTTCAAAGGAAAGTAAAAACAGGTAAGGAGATAGGGGGTCTCCTTGTCTCAGCCCTCTTTCTGGGAAGAATTATCCAGTTTCAAAGAAACTCTTAACAGCAGTGATCGCATCACTTCCTACACTTCCCCAAAACTTATGGAAAAAGAAATTTGGGAATCCATCCAGGCCTGGGGCTTTTTTAGGGGCCATTTGAAATAATGCTTCCTTAATCTCTTCATCAAAAACCTCCCTCTCTAAATTTTCCTTTTCTTGTTCACTCAACTTTGTTGATACACTATTAAGGAAATCATCTTGCAGTTTTGGTTTTGAGGAGTTGAAAATATTTCTAAAGTGGTTCTCTAGTTCTATTGAGATATCCTCCTCTGAAGACAACTAGTCCCCATTTGCAGCTTTGAGAGATACTATTCTGTTCCTACTGCTCCTTCCTTTTGCAACTGAGTGAAAGAATTTAGTATTTTTGTCCTCAGCTTGCTGCTAGTTCACCCTTGATTTCTGCAGCCACATCAATTCCTCTCTTCTCAGCCAAGTGTTCAGATTAGCTTTTAGCATATTAACCTTAGTTTGACTAAATTCCATCCCTGATTTGCTATCCTCCTCACAGAGAAGATCTTTTGCTTCCTGAATTCCCTTTCTCACATTTCCAAAAGTTGTTATGTTCCACACTTTGAGGTGACCCATTAAAGCCCTACACTTTGCTCCAAACTCCAATTGATTGGATCCCTTTATTTTTATCCCCCAAGCTTTCTTGAGCAGGCCTTGGAAATCCTCATGATCTGTCCACATTTCCTCAAATCTAAAAATTTTCCTCCTTCTTTGGTTCCTAGTTACAGTTTCTAGTAATATTGGGAAGTGATATGAGCTCAGAGTAACCACTGTTTTAACCCTGAAGTTAGCAAACTGGTTTTGCCATTGAGAGTTATAGACCACCCTATCAAGTCTTGCCCTAATGAACCTATTCCCTTCCCTTTTATTTGACCAAGTGAAGGCTGGGCCTTCACTTTGAACTTCTTGTAAACCACAATCCTCTATAAAACTCCTAAATTTCTAGAGTTGGGATTCATTGTAGATTCTTCCTCCCTCCTTTTCAAAGCTGTGTAAAATGAAATTTAGGTCCCCAATACAATCCCAAGGGCTTGTTGCAAGCTTAGCTAGGTTACTCCACTTATTCAAAAAAATATTTCTTTGACCTCTTTTTGGCTCTCCATAAATGAAAGAGCAATGCCAGATCACCCCCCCCTGATTGGTGAATTTAACATGTATAATGTTTTTGTCAGCAATAGTTCCAGCCCTTAACCCACTTAAAAGTTTTTTCTTTTTTTTTTTTGCTTTTTAAAAAGGTAGTTTTAGTTTCCATTAAAAAGATAACATCTGCTCATGTGTTAATACAGGTCTCTCTTAGAGCACGAATTGTCAGGGCAGACGGGTTTGTTGCGGGACAGAACCCCAAACCCACTTATTTTCCTTATTGTCCATAACCGAAAACAATCATGCTTCTATATTATGGTCCAGATGGTGATTAAAACTGTCTTGTGGCACTTCGACATTACACGTGGCACGACCTCGGCTGTATGCTTCTCGACAAATCAGCTTATGCCACCTAGGATAACACCGATCTCGCTTAACAGTAGATCGACAGATCGACATGTGGAATCTCTTAGGCAGTCCACAACAACTCCAACCTTCCTCTCTGACCCAGGTAACAGATTACCTGACAATTCATATGACCTTAGGAGCTCAGAGCTCTGACCTACGTGGCACATCTCCCCTTATTCGTTTGCATTGCTTGATGCCTTCAAAACGCATGGTGACATGTCCACTTGGCAACGATAAGCCCGGTTCCTTCTGCTTCACGGGGAATTAGATAAGGGCCAATGCTGCGCTATGTTGGAGTACTTTGTAAGTAATGGACAGGTAGGGCCTATCACCTCCGAACGTGTTAGACACACTTTGACCGAACTTCACAGTCTATATAAGGGTGATTCCTCACGCTCCAACGATACACTTACACTATTAATCTCTCTCTCTCTCTCTCTAGCTCTCTGTTCTGAATTCCTGCATAACCTCTTTCATTTTTTTAGTAGTCCAGTATTAACTTGACCATTGGAGTCCCACCGCCCAGGTCATCCTCCCAGGCTCTTCATCCGAGCTGTCATACCCAACAGGGACTCAACACAATTCGTGCATCATCATAAACTATCCCATTTTCCATCTCTTTATTCATGTGGACAAATATGAAGCAAAGTGGTGAATCCTCTTTCTCTCTCTTAATCCTAGTTCAATTTGAACCCTGATCTTTTGATTTTTTGACTGAAATCCCCCTCATACCGTTATACTCTTATCTCTATGTGTCAACTGTTACTTCTTTCCCAGAGCACTGCTGCGGTCCTAGAGATTGCATCTCCACATTGACTCTCTTTAATTTAATAGCATTTTAATTTTCAAAAAAAAAATATGTATGTAGAAGAACGAGGGCTCATGTGTAATCCAAAATTATTTAAATAAAAGTGAAACTTCTTTTGGAGTTTCGTCTACGGCGAACGGGGGTGAGCTTCGTCTACGGCGAACAACGTTGATTTTGCAATAGATCCAGTAGTAACAGTTGTGGGTTGTGGTAGTAACAGGTCCGGCGACCAACTTGCAGTGGCAGCCGACAATTTTGCAACTTTACCTATACTAGCGGTGATGGTATATTTCCTGCCCACTATTCTCTCATGCTTGTTCTATCTGCAACTTTTGGGAACCACCCGACCTTCAATCCTTTGAGAGTGAAGGTATAAAATTCAAAAACAATGCTGACGATGCGCATTTTGGCAGCTCCCCGGTTGGCAGGTGACTCGGATGCCTGGTTGAATAACTCCTACCTGGAATGTGGCTTGGATGCCTAGCTGAATGGTGACGAGCTAGAGAAGTGGCTCTGATGCCTAGCTAAATGCTGACGAGCTGGAGAGGTGGATTTGATGCCTAACTGAATGGTGACGAGCTGGAGAGGTGGCTCTGATGCGACCTGCAAGAAAACAATGTCAGAGTGCCCGAGTTGCTTTACCCGGGGTGGGAACTCCAATGCTTAAGTTAGCGAAYCAGAGATTTTAAGATAGCTAAATGTGAGAGAGCTGCGAGAACTAACTTGTGCATCTCCCCCCTAGGGTTGGAGGTACGGCCTTTATACAGGCATTGTTTGGCGTGAGCATCACGCAACACGTTTGGGATCTCCGGGAGGACGTGCCTAACTACTCCGAAATCCTCAGAGGTAGTCATGCACGTAGGCCAATCTTTGCGCCTTACTTGGTTTCTCCCAAAACATTCAGTGTGAGAATTCATTTCCGAGAGACCGGGGAGTGATGGGATGCATGTAGAAATCGACGATGATAACGTCTCGTAGGTCGCTAGGTCGGCGCTAGAGGCAGGTCGCCAGGTCGGCGCTAGAAGCAGGTCACC